TTTCACATCTCAAAGTCTAATACACCTCGTATTCCACGACGATATGTTCCTAAGTTCCATCTTCCAACTCATTCTCTATATATAGTAAAGTCTCCAGCTCAAGAATAATCATTAATCCAAAAGAAGAAAATTAATTATAAAATCAAAAACATTACTTAATCAAAAGAAAACTTCCACCAAATACAAAGAGTCGTCGAAATAGTTTAAACAACAACAATAACAACAACAACAAAAGATGAAGCCAAAACAACTCATAAGATTGATGACTTTTTTTTTTTTCATGAGCCTTGGTTGAGTCCATGTGAAGCAGCTTCTAAGACACAATCCATAGCTTGAAACCCTATTCTCTCTTTCTCCAAATCATACACAACTTTCACATTTTGTTGCTGAAAGCTCCCAAAAACTCCTGCAGGTCCGTAATCTCCATCTTCCATGTTCTGAAACAACAAGCATTGCACCACAGAACCATCGCTAGGGGCGCTCATTGCATAAAATGAGTTACCTTGCGGGAGAAGTAAGGTTGCATTGTTCAAGAAATTGAATGTAATTGAAGGAAAGACCATCATTGCATCGTTTTCGAGGCTAGTGAGATTGTTGTTAGGACATGGGACCTTGTAGCAGAGATCAAATCCTGTTCTTGATTCAGTTTCCGTGGCTCTCGGGTATGTGATGGTTGATTGGAGAGTTGTGAGGAGTTGTGAGTAGAAAGGATTTGGTAAATGTGTGTAAGTCGTACCGGAATCGACCAACATTCCTCCGTTTCCTTGTGAATCAAATTGTCTTAAGGTTAAAGGAACTTGTGTGGGAGTGATATTTGTGCCTATTGTAATTGATTCTAAACCGATGTAGTAGCTGTTGGGGTACATTGGAGTATTCAACATGGGAGTAAACTGCAAAGATTCAGTGATATTTATCGATAAAGCGGAGGCTCCTAGGATCAAAGGGCTTGAGATGTTAGGGTTGTTGACAAACTTGAAAGGCAAGAAACAGTGAGAAAATCCCTTTTCAAGAAAGCCTAACTGTGAAGGGAGAGAGAGTAAACCTCTTCCAAATCCGGCAATGCCAATAGGTTCGTGGTAAGTGGACGTTACACAACCAAAAGAGAACCTTGGGACATCCCTGGTTCGAGCCTTTAGTATATCTCTGGTTAGTATTCCAGAGACAAGACCACCTTCACCATAAGTATAAGCAAAGGAAGGACAAGGCCTTAAGCAAGTGGACTTGAGAAGCATACTCACAGAGCAGCCAGCGATTGCGCAAGGGTCAAAAGGATTGTCTGAGCTATGGATCTCGGCGCAAAAGGAACTAGCGCAAGAGGCTCTAAAAGATGAAGATGAGTGAAGAGGAGAGAAGATTGATGATGATTTTAGATTGTTGTTCTTGAGATCATAACAGTCTATGCAATCAAAACTTAGATTCCCACATGGGACCCAAGTGAGATCACTACCAGTGTCCATGTACACTTCGACTGCTTGTGGAGGTGTTCCAATGTTTAAGGTTATCAAATAACCATCTCTCACTTCTCTCAATGGCTCCATTACAACATCTACTGATGATAATGGCTTCTTGATCTTTTCTTGGGTTTGAGACTTTGGTGTGGGAAGAGAAACACTTGATTTGGTCAAGGTAAGAACAAGAAAGGAAGATGAGGAGGAACTAGGGTTTTTATGTAGTCTTGCTTGGGTTTTGTTGGTGGTGTTTAACAATATAGTGATGAGTAGGAGAAGAAACAAAACATATGTTTTGGTTTCCATCGCTTAGCTTACAAGATGATGAAAACAAAAAGAAATGTAAAATGAAAGGTTTGATTTTGTATATGTTTATTGTGAAGTTAGTTTCGGTATTTATAGAGACGAATTAGGGTTTTAAAACTCTTTTTCAAATAGTGTTTGTTGTACTTTGTAAGGAATATTAGTATTTAAATATTTTTGATAAACTAATTAAGCTTTATTGTATGTACTTTTCCATGTGATATTTTTTAGATTACGTCATTTAAAATTAGATATCATAAAATGGACCGCACTTCGTTACACATGAAATAAAGTTAAGTTTTGAGAACCAATAAATTAACGAAATTAACACAGAAACTTACTAGGTAGTTTGATATTATATGATTATATTTAGGATATTTTACTTGCGAAAACATATTATGCTAGTTTGAATTTGGATGATAACGTAATGATATAACTAATACAAACTAATAAGTTATAAGTTGTTGTAGTGTAAAAGAGAAATATTTCTGAAATAGATATAATAAGTTATACATAATTAATGTTAAAATACTGGATATTATATAAGTACGTTTATGTAATTATGTGTAATTGTGTATAATGCGGAAATAGATCCAGAAATTAAGGAAGAGACAAAAATGAGGACAAGGTGATGCAGCTAGCTACTGAGGTGGACATGACTCATCCACTTAACTGTCTAACCGTTAATTAGTCTCCCGCTAACTTTGTTTTTATTTTAATTTAATTATATTTAAAAGGCAATTACATATAGATAACAAAAAGTAAATAAATAATCCTCCATTTGTTGGTTTACAAATTCAAACTAGCATAATATGCTTTTATTATTTGTTCCATAAATATTGATTTTCTAGCTTTTTCTTGTATTTTTTTTATCTATATTATTAAATCATAAACTTTAAGACGTAATGATTGAAAATAATTAACTTTCTTAGATTACTATTAATTGATAATTATTTTAAAATATGTAAAATCAAAATTAATGTTCAAATAATTAAACTATAATTAAATTCTTAATAAGTGTGAAAACCTCAAAACATCAAACTATTAGGAACAGGAAAAATAATAACTATATAAATGATGCATCAAGCCTTTTTCCATGAAAATCAAACAAGTTTTAGAAAATTATTATATAGATAATATTGTTTTTCTATATGACGTACCAATGAGTGCACCATAAATATTATACTTAGCTGTATAATATTTTGCATGTTGTCCAATTAAAATGTATTCTTATGGAGCTTCACACGTAATCTCCACCATCTATTGTCTATTTTGCCAAACCAATGTACATTATATAAAATACAAAAACGAAAACACTTGTTTTAAATGGTAATATCGTACCCATACGGTATAGGGTGTATCACTTTTATAATTATCAATCATAAAAAAGATATTAAAAACGTTATTTTTAGACATTTTGTCCAGCTTTCGTATACTATTATTTTTACAACTACAAGTTATATTTTAAATCTTATCAACGTAATAATTCTTTTATACTCAAAAACATTGTTTAATTAGTTCCTTTTTAGTGTACTAGAATAGTACCGTTGCTCATATAAAGGGCTCTGCGTAGGGAGTATTCGTCTTCTAAAGAACGATCAACAAGGTTAATCTACAGTAGAATATATGCATTTATCTGTATAAATGAAGTTTGGAGAATCAAAGAGCTCATAGTCGGACAGAATATAGTTCTCATTATTTGGACTAACTTCATATCTATCTGAAATTCAGAACCAATAATCAGTGAACCATGAGTATTACGAAATCCAAATTTGGGAGAGAATACACAATCGCTAGTAAGAATATTCACGGAAATGAAAAAGCCAGCCTCAGAATACACAATCGCTAGTAAGAATGACGGAAGAATGTGTATATAAACTAGAGAATCGGTACCATTTGTGTGGTTAGCGAGCTAAGCGCAACATGTGGTTTATTGAGAATCTCAATGCCAAAAACCCAGTGTTTTCACGCCCGACCCGAACCGTCCGGTCCGACCGGTTAACCCACGACCCGGACACTTTTCCGGTTTGGGTTTAATGCTAATATCCGCCATTTTAAGAACCGAAAAAACCCACAAAAACCCGCCATTAACCCGCGACCCAGTGAACCGGTTGAACCGACTGGGTATGGGTTTTAAAAATATCATTTGAATTTGGAATAAAATATAGAGTTTTAGACTCTATTCAGTCATTTTTAGAATTTTTTTTAGATTTTAGACTCATTTGTTGTTTAAATTTTTTTAATGAAACTTCACAGTGCCGTCTAAGGAGAATGAATGGAATGGTGAGAGAAATAACCGAGATTAGCTTTTTTGAATTTGCGATGTTTTATTAGTTTATTTCTGTCATTCGCGATCTCATACTATTTTAATATTTGTTACGGTTTTAGACTTTTAAGCTGGATTTAAAAAGTTTATTTGAATCACTTTATTATTATTGTTAGACTTCATATTTTGTAATATATTAAGAATATTTTTATTTTTATATTTATAAAAACTAAATCATCCTATAAATATTAAATATATTAAATAAAATTTTAATCAATTGACCCGTGGTCGAACCCGGTTAACCCAGTGACCCGATGACCCAGAAGGTAGTCCGGTTCACTATCTGGGTCGGGTTTAAAAACACTGCGAAAACCTAATCAAAATCCAGCAAATGATCCTTTAAATTTCCGAACCTATAAATAAAAGAAGAATATATCTAAAAAATCGATTTTACTCTGATTGTATAGTCAAAATCGATTTGGATCTATCTAAATCTGATGCAAACAACAACAAATTGAAGAAATTAAGAAAAACTTTCGGCAACAAATCCTTTAAATTTAAACCTTCAATTCTTCTTTATAATGTCGAATCTCAACTCGTGTTTCCAATAAACTCAACTTCTGCTAAGTCACTCTAAGTGCATTGTTTCTAAGCATTATTTCATGAAACAAAGCCATGTACATCATATCTATAGAATTTTTTTCCCGAATTTTCATTTGCCATGACTTCAATTTGACATTGTTAATCGAAGAAGAGGAGAGAAAAAAAATGTTGAATGTTCATCCCGGGGTCGCCTGAAAACGAAAACGAAAAGTTCAGGGGCCTAGAAGTAATTTCATCCCGGGGTCGCCTGAAAATCACAGGCGGAGAAAGAGCCCTAAGACGGAGGTTCTGAGCGATGAAACCTTTGAAAATTAGGTGAAGATGGAGGATTCAATTACCTTATAGTCCTTGATTCTCTGGTAAATTTCAATTCTTTCGATGAGTTATTAAGGGAAAGAAACTATTTCTTGATGAATCTTACATAGCTCTGTATTTTGCCTTAGTTTTTAGGTTGCAATGATGTTTTCAAGATTCCTGAAAAAAGTACAAAAGATTGCTCAATTCAATATCTCCTCCATTGCTCATCAAAACCAGGTTTCAAGGTCGAAACTTTATCATGTTTATAGTACAGGGAGATGTTTTCAGAGTGGTAGATCTGTCTGTGGGGGTAATTCTTCTTCACGGCATTGGTCTCAGTCACCCACACGGGTTTTCGGAAATCGGGTTTCGAGAGCTATGAAGAATGAAGCACAAAAAGCTCTCTTTGATTACTTGCATTATACTAGAACTCATAGTTTTGTTGATGCAGATCATATAAGTAAGAATTCTCCTCGTTTTATTTTGAGTTTGTTGTCCAAGATCGATGATACTCGGAAGGAGGATATATCCCGGGCATTGACTAAGTTTCTAAGGTATAATCCCATCAACGAGTTTGAACCATTTTTCGAGAGTTTGGGTTTGCGTCCATCTGAGATTCCGCGTTTCCTTCAACGGGACTTGGTTCTTTTGAGTGATGATGGTATCATGTTTGAGAACTTTCATGTTCTTTGCTATTATGGGATTCCGCGTGGCAAGATTGGCCGCATTTTTAAAGAAGCAAGAGAGATTTTTGGATACGAGAATGGGGTTTTGGCGTCGAAACTTGAAGCTTATGAGAGCTTGGTTCTTAGTAAGCCTATAGTCATTAAGCTTGTTACTTGTTGCCCGTTGCTTTTGGTTGGTGGCATTGATAATGAGTTTGTTTCTGTGGTCAATAAGTTGAAGGGATTAAACATAGGATGTGATTGGCTTGCGCATTATTTGTCGGATAGAAAAACATATAACTGGCTTCGGATTCTTGAGACAATGGAGATCCTTGATAAGGTGGGTGTTAAAGAGGAGAAGTTGAGTAGGCTTTTGAAAGCATATCCAGATTTGGTGGGTGAGGCTTCTGGCAATAAAGCTTATATTATGTTTGAAAAGTTTCATAAAGTTGGACTTCAGATGAATGAAATCGATAATTTAGTGACAGACAACCCAGAGATGCTATTAGAGAAATCTGTAAAAAGAATTATAGAGGCGTTGAAATTCTTGAAACGTATCAAAATGGAAAAGCAGTTTATCGTTAGGTTTTTACTGTGTTACATGAAGCTTATCTGTTCATCCTCTCTGCTAGGACCTAGAGCTGTTTGGAATAGATTGAAAATCGGAAGAGACCAGTTATGTCAGATCATTAAGGAAGAGCCTTTGAGATTGTTCAGTTTAGCTTCTAAAACTAATAATAGTAGAATTAAACTTGATTCACTGGATTTGAGGAATGCAGAGAAGACGGCATTCTTGTTGAAGCTAGGGTATGTAGAGAATTCCGATGAGATGGTGAGAGCTCTGAAAAAGTTTCAAGGGAGGGGAGATGAGCTACAGGAGAGATTTGATTGCTTTGTGAAGGCTGGTTTGGACTATAATGTGGTTAGCCAGCTTGTTAAGCGGGCGCCTCATATGCTTAACCGGCCGAAAGGTATCATAGAAAAGAAGATCAATATGCTAACAGATTATTTGGGTTATCCAATTGAATCCGTGATAGAGTCCCCAACATATTTGTGTTATAGTATGGAGAGAATACATCAGAGATTCTCAATGTACATTTGGTTGAAAGAAAGAGATGCAGCAATGCCGAGGCTGACACTAGGCACTATAGTCGGTATTTCCAATACCCTTTTTGTGTCATACTTTGTCAATACCCACCCTGAAGGTCCAGCTACTTGGGAAAATATAAAGAAAGCATCTACCTGAAGTGAATTTAACTGGTCAGTTCAATGATATAACGTTATCTTCAATCTGGAATTTTTCAGTGAGATGGAGAGGATCAGAGAATATGTCTATGCATAGTGAAGTATTTCTGCCTTTGAATTTGATTGGTACTCTCTATTCATCAGTATAGTGATATGAATGCCAACAAATGGACCAGGAAGGACTTGGAGAAAGCTGAAAGAACAGAGACTCTCCATAGTGTTGCTACGCTATTGAGCACAGCGAAGTGTTCTTAGACTGGACTGAACAGAGCGACAAATTGGAAAGGCACAGTCCTTCGTTGATACAATATTCTTCTATTGCTTTCCGAAGCTGGAAATGCACACTTACCATATGATGCAACTTGAAATGTTTTCTTTGTTGAAGGAGACAGTTTTGGTCAGACAAGGACCCGGCCTGATACCGAAGAGATCAGCTAACGTCTACGTACTTACTGGGACATACCTGTGACAGTTCTTTTCAGAATGCATTATTACAGGTTGTTTGGAAGAATGGGTTTTGTCCTTTACTCTTAGCCACCATTAGTCTATCTCCTGTAACTATGTACCATATAGCTTTGACAAATGATCATGCTTTTTCCTGACTTTTTGTGGAGTGTCTTTGTCTGTTTAAGTATCTGAGAGTATCTTGTAGATTACCTAAATATTAGATTTTTGTATTGGAAACAAAAGATTGCATATAGTTAGAATGTTTTGGGTTAATCAGCATTCCTAATCTTACTGCTATACATTTAACTATCCATCTCTCTTTATTAAAACTGAACCTAAAGCATCTGTATAAAATCTGAAGAACACCCAAAAAGAAAACCCTTTTAACAAAGATATCTAATTACATTTAACTTATGGTGCACTTTCATGTTGTGTTGTTCAGGTCATCTCTTATGGAAGAAGAAGAAGGAGAAGATGAAGCAGAAAGACAAGACCGCGCAATCTTAGACTCTTTGTCTTTGCTATATGCCTTTTGGACATCATCCTTAAGCTCTCTATATCTCATTCTCTTCAATCTTCTTTCATGCGTAGATCCCTTCTCAAACCGTAAATCATCCAGGATGTCTTCGTCTATGTACTCAGCCATGTACCTATCTAGAACCGCTGAGCCATATGGAAAAAACCTTCGACCAGTATCAACTGCATTGTGAAGCGGTAAATGAAATCAGTCAAGAGAAAATGAGCAACAGAAGAAGAAGAAGGGTAAACTCACAAAGAGCAAGCTTTTTTACCTGTTTTCATTAGAGCCTCCATACGAGTAAGAAGTCTTTTGGTTTGCATATCAGGCGTTTCGTTTAAATCAACCTGATTCAAGTTTCCGGTTAACCCATTCGAAGGTGGTGGCAGACCCGTGAACTCACTTGTACCTTCTACGTTACCAATGTCCATAGCCACTTTAGCTTCCGTTGGAAAGAACAACTGAGCAAGCCCCACTGCAAAAGGTTAATGCTTTAACAAAAATGTCGTAAAGATACAGAAGAATTTAGCAATTATCAGTCAATTACCTCTCTTTTCTAGGTACATCAGTCTCATTTGCAGATCTTCAGGCATAGAAAGGGAACACATTGGTGTATCCAGAACCATGGGGTTCTTCCTGATTTCTCTTTCCAAGATATCGATGCATAACCTAGCTTTACTAGATTCACGCCCTTTCGCTGTTTTGGTATGATAATCCTTTGGATTTGTCAGTCTTCTCAATATATTAACTGCGCTGCGTCCGTCAGATGTAAACTCAGATGCATTGGCGCCTTTATCGATAAGCGATATAATGATCGATGGCTCTCTACGCATCGCAGCAAAATGAAGAACAGTATAACCCCGGGAGTTCCGAAAATTCACGTCACCCATATCCAGAGCAAGAATCTCGGCAACAACTTTCGGATCACTATACACCACAGAATAATGCAGACCATTGGCTTGATCTAAAGTGATATCTGACTCAGTCAAAAGAAGCTTCACAAGCTCAACATCATCTGAATCCAACGCCTTGAGAATTTTACTGATTCTTTCGAGCAATTTCTCCGAAATCTTGGGACTGGTTTCTTCGTCTTGCGGGGACATAAGTCGAAGCTGTTTAATCTTCTCTGCTACTTCAGAAGGAACTTCCTTTTCGATACAGAACCTGTAAAGATCTGACCTTGCCACTCTCTCGATACACTGATCAAGAAGCTGAGTCAACTTACAATTGAAAGCAACCATAAGAATCGGAAGCACATTCTCAACAAGGGTCTTCTCCACAAAGTTACAAAGCCGTCGCTGCAAACATAAAGCACAAACCTTTAAGCTCTCATTGAGGTCTATGAATCAAGAAACAAAGATATAGAAGAAAAAGAAGAAGATTTCCCACACACCTGAAAGGATGAAACTAGCTCTGGCACTTGGAGAACAGATGAAGCATACATCAATTGAACAACAAAATCAATGGCAGGTCGACAAGAATCATGAGCACAAACTGGATCAACACAAGTCGAAACTTCCAAAGGAAATGGCTTTAATCTCCCAGTGTAGATATAACTCAAGAAATACAAGAAAGCTTCATGACCAACAGTTCCATAAGGCAACATCTCTTTTAACTGGTACTTTGGTTTCTCAGTTTTCGAAATTTTCTTCTCCTTCTTGAACAATTCTTGGAAAAACTTACTTCTTGCAGCTAAAATACATCTATGAACACCAACCGGAACACCATCAACAATGATCTCTGCATCACTGTAATCAAAATCTGGATTATTAAGAAGCTGCTCAAGATTGGAGCTGAGTTTGCTTAGACTAACAACTTCAGGATTAGAAGCTGTGCTTGATGGGAAATGATTAGACCCAATAGAACCATAAGAGAAATGAGAAGATGTGAAACTTAAAGATGATGATGGCTCAGTCAAAGTAGCCATTTTTCTCTTCTTCTTTTTGCAGAATTATCAATCTTTTTGCATGAAGATCAAGATTACACAAGTCTAAAGATCGGTTTCAGATACAAAAGCGCTAAATTTACATTTCTAACAAGGAATCAACCAAACACAGAACCAAAAGGGGAAATTTTGTAAACTTGGGGATTTGAGACAAAACAAAAAAATCGAATTTTTCAGACAGAACATTACCCTTGCACCTCTGATTCAATGTACCAAAAGAAAGTCATAAGGAAAGGAAGAAACTTTGGACAAGGAATCAAACAAAATTGGGAGAGAAAAAAAAAAACCCTAAAAGAATCTGAGAAAACGAAGGAAATAGAGATTGAAGAAATACAAAATCAGGGATTTGAGATCTGCACAATCGTAAAAGATAAGATCAAAGAGAAGGCAAATTGAGATCTATCAAAGAGATAAAAAGGAAGAGAATTTAGAGGAAAAGTCAAGAGAGAAAGAGAGGTATATAAGGGATAGATGATGATGAAATTGAGAACAAACAGGACACAACAGGTGCAAAGTGATGGTGAAAGAAAGAGACAGCTTCAATGTGAAGATAGAGAGGAGAAAAAAGAGTTAATATAATACTAGTTTTTTTACATTTTAATAATATGAATTAATAAGCATTAGATTTAAAAACATTGTCTAATAAATAGTATAAAGAAAGACTCAAATGAAAGTTGACAAATAGAAAACAAAGACTAGAAAAATCCGTGTGTGGTGCCAAAGGTTCTCCGTGTGTGACGCCACACACTCACATTTTCGACATTTTTCTCTAATTTATTATATAAGATTTTGGGTTTTGTTAAGATTAATTTTATTTGACCCAATAAAAAAAAAAAATAAACTAGTAACCATATTCTACAAAATCAGATCCAATCTAGGGTTTCAACTTCATAATATTTGATTCTTTTGTATGTTATAGATGTAATTTATATTTACATAGAAAGGTAAAAAAAAACAATGAATAACATGGTATTTAAACAAATGATGTGATTAAATTTTTTTTTGAAAAATTCATTTAATTGTTATATGACATGTAATTTTTTCATAATATATTAATTTTTACCTCGGTGTCTAGTTTATTAATTAAAGTATAGGATTTCAAATTTAAGATTTTTTTGTTATTATATAATAAATTAAATATTCACATAAAACGTAAGAAAAAATTATGTATTCTGTAAAACAAAAGACATAATTTTAAAAAATCACTATATGATTGGGATATAAGGCATCATTATATTTTTTGTTACATATGTTCTTTATACAATAGTTTTATTATATTCGTAGGTTAAACCATTTTATGCGTTTTCAGTAGTTGCAAATTTCATCTGATAAAATAATAAAATTTGTTTCTTAGTTGTAAATAACTTGTAATGATATGCTAATGCCGTCACAAAATAGCATTAAGTCAAGAAAATTAATGTTAAGAAATAGCCGTCACAATTGATGACGGAAGGAAGTGACGCAAGCAAATGCGAACGGCGTATGAATGATGTGGCTTGTGTGTGGATTGCTGTGATGTGATGACGTATTAAAGAATGTCACTTTCGAAAAAGTAGATAAATCATAAAATAGTAGTAGAGATTATATAATAGCTATAGTGGTCCTAATTTTATTAATTTATAATTTTGTGATGACCAAAGTCATTCTTTGTGGCCTAGTTCCACATTTCAAGACATAAAGAACGTTTTGAAATGAATTGTATATTAGATACGAACGACTATACAATATCGTCTTGAATAAAAAACGAAAAGATTCTTGAAATGCTAAGGGCTTAGCAACTAAGTGGTTAAGTCTTTTATGCTATCATTCTAGACGTCGGAATTCGACGACTCTAGCTACAATACGTAAATTATGTTTGCAGATTATAAAATAAAGTAATGCTTTTTAAATAAAAAAATTCTAAATGTTTGTACCATAATTTTTTTATTTTTATAATTAAAGAATAATTCGGATATCTGACTAACCTCTCAGAATGAGTTTTATAGTCAATTAGTTTATTCATCGGATTTTTAATTGACATAAAACTTAGCATCATTTCGAGTGATCATATTAAAGTGGTTTAAATAATTCTACGGTTGAGAGGAGTTGATCACTATTCTAGACTTACACAAGACAACTCGATCTTTTCCAAGTAGAAACCATTAGACCACTATTATTTGTTTATGTTTGTGCTTGTTTATTTTCTGATATATATCAGCTATGTTTACTATTTCAGTTAAACTCATCAATCTAATAAGTAAAGCCTAACCTCAAACAAGAGATCAAGATTATTCCAAAGAGGAGTGGAAATGAAAATTCTTGATGAAAAAAATTATAAAGAAAAATAACAGGAAAAAAAAACAAAAAATAATCTTAAATTTCCCATGCAAATATACGGTTAACTTTTTTTTATTTGTTTTGGAAGAGAAAACAAACTTGATGACCCATCATATAAATGTATTACTGAAAATAAAAATTGAAGCATCCAATGGGGCGGTGTCAGTCAGTCGGTGTCGGTGATGCTTCCTAGTTCCTGCTGAGAAGCTACGCGGAATATATGGTTTATTTATCATACAAAAGTCTCCTTATGTAATTTTCTATATCTATCGAATAATTTGGATATAATATCGACTTAAAAAAAGTTTATAAAAATGTTATATAACATGCGTTTCCACTTTTGATTTTTGAGTTTTCGTGTATTAAAATTGGACCGGATCATATACAAATACAAGGGAAAATTGGAAATAAAGGATATCTACTTAAATTTTTGTCAAAGGGTTTGTATAAATATAGTAAAAATAAAAGGCATACAGAATTTATGACGAAGCTATTTTCCTTGTAAAGAACCAACAATTTGGTAGGAATAAAGAGCAGCTATACTTGTTAACAACAACTCAATTTAATGTCACTATTTATGTAAGTCACTATAAAGAAGCTTCCCCATTTAATTTTGTTCCTTTCAAATCTCATTGATTGTAGATTGCCATCCAATTAGAAGAGTCTGATCTGTAGTCTTGTCTCTCGAAGTAGAAGTTAACAGTTGGAAAATGTGTTTGTAAATTGTAGTTTTGCGGAAAATGCACACCATACAGATTACAGTCAATACTTCGACGGAATAAGGACATTTCAAGTACATATGGTTTCTTGATTTCACGGTTACTTCGCAAAGCAAAAACACTTCTTTAATCTGGTTAATATTAACTATGACAGCTATAATTAATGAAGATGAAATGATTAGCATTTGGTAAGTTTGCATGGAAATGTTAAACACAATCTTATCATTTCAAGATTAGTATAATGTAACAAGAAATCAATATATTATCTATAAGAGAAAAATAAGAAACGATCATTTTATATATATATATATATATATATATATATATATATATATATATATTATCTATGCTATAATTACTATCCAAATGAAATTATAGATTTAGATTATGTAAAAACTGTAACATTTGTTTACGTAAGAAACTATATTTTTCAAATTATTTTGTATATTTTGCAAGTGGCAAATTATCAAGTATGTAGTTCCCAACCAATCTACTCCAATCGAATCCCAAAACGAACTTGAAATCACCATTCCAAGGCTGCACTCTTCCTATCGTTTGAGACATACACGAACATCGCCAAGCTGAGAAACGTTGAATCAACACGAGGTCAGACCGTTCTTGCTCAGAGTAAACGTCCATTACAAATTTACAATGAGGATTGAGTTGAAAATGTTGTCACAAGACCACTGATCAGATTATAACGTCTCTTTACCACTTGTGTAATTAATGGGCCCGATGCTGACTGCTGTGACCATTAATGGACCACTGATCAGATTCTAACCTTAAAGAAAAGAAGATTTTGTCCATAAATGGAAAAAGAATCTAAAGCATATAAGCTCAAAAACTCGGCTTACAGAAATTAATGGGCCCGATGCTGTGACGGGCTTTTCCAATTTGGTTCGGCCTAGCTTTGATAAACCTAGTTTCATTCGGTAATATAGTTCTTTCTTAAGAGGATTTTTTTTTTTTGATAAATCTTGTTTTCTTTCTGAAAGTTAGGTTCTATAATTTTACATTTTTACTGACTCTTTTTGAAACACATATAGTGATACATTACTGATGATACCAAGAAAATAAATCATAATATATTCTTACATTCACTTCAAATCATCACAAAAACAAAAAATGTGCTCCATCTAGTATGTTTCTTTTCCTTGTGAAACATCTAATAATTATATTTTGATTTTTAATCTCGTAAAATAAGTAAAAATTTACCAGAAAATAATTTTCTTCTGCAATGAAAATTATTTATTGCGGAGGAAATTGGAAAATAGATATAACAGTCTTGATTATCCAATTTTACAACTAGTAACTTTTCTTCTTGTCTTAAAACAACAACATGTTCTTCCAAACTTTACAGTCCCTCTGCTTCTACATAGTACTTTAAACCCACCAAGTTTATAGGTAAAACGATGTTTAAAAAATCACGAACTTTTAAATTTGGTTGAACGAAAGCACCAACTTTCCTTTGAACGTTTTAAATCACCAACTTTTGTTAATTTTTCATTTTAATCACAAATTCTTATTGACTTTTCATTTTAATCACAAACTTTTGTTACCTAAACCAATTTATAAGACTAGTCATAAAAAAAATCTGAAGAAACAAATTAACAAGATCAACTATTCGTTACTTATCTCTGACTCTGTGTAATCAAATTGCCGATAAATTCAATATAGATTATTATCGGAGACTTAATCCGTTAATATGGTATGTTAAAACACTTAGAACATGCCTAAATTCGCTCAATTATAAAAAAAAATTGATTAAAATGAAAAGTCAATAAAAATCGGTGATTTAAACCGTCTAAAAAAAGTTGGTGCGTTTTTCAATCAAATTTGAAAGTTCATGATTCTTTTGACATTTTTTCTCAAAAATTACATGTGTCAAACTTTATCATAGTTCTTTCAAATATATGTTCAAAATTTAGAATCTAATATATTTCTAGTCTTATACTCCTTCTGTTTCACAAAGAGTGTCGTTTTAGAGTTTTGCACACAGATTAAGAAAACATTAAATTTTTTGTTTTTTCTAAACAAAAACATCATTACCTATATACTTAAACACAATCTGCCCAATAGTAAAACAATCTGCAGAATACTAATAGTCATAAAACATAAAAAATCATTAAATTTTGCATTGAAAACCTAAAACGACATTCTTTGTGAAACAAAAATAAAACCTTAAAACGACACTCTTTGTGAAACAGAGGGAGTATATAAATTTACGAAACTTTATTTTAATCGTATAACTAACGTTGACTTGTTATCGATCCAAGAGCATGAATGAAGCCCATTAATCATTGATCGGCGTGAGCCTGGCCAGAATGAAATTCCATGGAATGAAGTACGCATAGGGAATATATGATATATACTATAAAAAAAAATATCAATTATATTTGGCATATTTATATGCATATGCAGTTAAAAATGTCCATTTTAATGATAAGATTACATGTTGAACAAAAAAAAAAAAAAAAGATAAGATTACATATTCACATAACTATACTTCTAAATTCTAATCTACATTGAGATTGACTCGTGTGTCATGCTTTTTTTTTGTCCGTAGATATACAAACGATCAATATTCCATGTCAATATCAACAAGCCGGCACATTATAGTCCTTATATATATGAGAGTAAATTTCATATGATTTGAAGAAACTAACACATTTTTTTCGTTTACTAAAAACCAAAATTAAAAAATGGCTACGACTACACAACACATGAACCAAATCTTCCTCGTACTCCTCCTGATCTCCTTCGCAATCTCTCCAGCGATCTCAACGGTTCCAAAAGAATGCGAGACCGACTCAACAGACTCTTGCATCGATAAAACCAAAGCCTTACCCCTCAAAATCGTAGCAATCGTTGCCATCCTCGTGACAAGCATGCTTGGAGTTACAGCTCCTCTCTTTAGCCGATATGTCACTTTTCTGCATCCAGACGGTAAAATCTTTATGATCATCAAGTGTTTTGCATCCGGGATCATCCTAGGAACCGGTTTCATGCATGTTTTGCCCGATTCTTTCGAGATGTTGTCCTCTCCATGTCTTGAAGACAATCCGTGGCACAAGTTTCCCTTCACGGGCTTTGTCGCTATGTTGTCCGGTCTTGTAACTCTCGCTATTGACTCTATTGCTACAAGTCTCTACACCAAGAAAACTGTCGCTGATGACAGCGAAGAAAAGACTACTCCAATGATAATTCAAATCGATCATTTGCCTCTAACAACTAAAGAACGTAGCTCTACATGCTCAAAACAACTATTGCGGTACCGAGTTATCGCCATGGTTAGTTCTTCATTACAATGCCATTTAGATTTTTGCTTTAACATATATATACACTCATGGAAAGTACTATATAAATTTTGAATATTTAAATCACATATTAAAAAATCATGTGTAAAATTAGGTGTTGGAGCTTGGGATAATAGTTCACTCCGTAGTCATTGGACTATCTTTAGGTGCAACCAACGACACATGCACCATTAAAGGTCTTATTGCAGCTCTTTGCTTCCATCAGATGTTCGAAGGCATGGGTCTCGGTGGTTGCATCCTCCAGGTACAAAATGTTTTTACATCAAAATCCATTTTCATATCTGGTAAAAAACACTAAACAAAAGCGTAGCGTAAAAGCCTTAAATAGGATGTAAAAATGAGGATAACATTAACATGTATCTATATTAATTTTCAAAAATAATAGCAACTAACACCATAATATTTTTTTTCTTTTATCAAATCATGAAAAAAATTGACCATAACACAAACATATAGATTCAAGGTTATATAGTAGCTTAGAATTTTATGTGTATACGCGTGTAACTTTTGATAATATATTTTTCAATAAAAAGTTTTTAATCATATCATGATAGAACATATAGCATTTTGAGAAATACTGAAATACATAGCAAGTTTTTTTTTTTTAACAGGCAGAGTATACAAATGTGAAGAAATTCGTGATGGCCTTCTTCTTTGCTGTTACAACACCATTTGGAATTGCTCTTGGAATAGCATTGTCGAGCATTTACAAGGACAACAGTCCAACCGCATTGATCACGGTTGGACTGCTTAATGCATGTTCCGCAGGATTGCTCATTTATATGGCCCTCGTAGATCTTCTAGCCGCAGAGTTTATGGGATCTATGCTCCAAGGAAGCGTCAAGCTTCAGCTTAACTGCTTCGGTGCAGCTTTGCTTGGTTGCGGAGGAATGTCAGTCCTCGCCAAGTGGGCGTAAACTCTTTAACATTTTACTTCCGATTTGTATGAAACTGTAATAATATTTCAGTGAATGTAAATAAATATATGATTTTATTTGATAATAATCAAGTCATCAAGCGATTGGCCTCTAGTTTATTTTTAATAGTTATTTGGTATTGTGAGTTATATAATCTAATGAATACTCAATCCTCAAAACGTAAGAAAATTTCATTTCTTATATTTAATGGTATATTTAATACCAAAATTTCATTTTGGTATTTAATGGTTAATTTTATTGCATCAAAAAAAAAAAAAAGAGAGAGAGAGAGAGATATATGCAGAGGAACTTTTGACTGGCGATAAAAGTGATATATATAGGAGTGTAAAAGGTCATGTGATCAACTGGAGAAGTTTAAAACTTACCTACCAAATAAGACAATAAGGCTTGATTCCGGGTGAGGAATGGTGAGAAGTTTTCGTCGTATCGAATAATGATGCTTATGGTTTTGGATTCAGATCAGTGTAGTTTAATTAGCGTCTCTTTCAGTCCAACCAAAGCATGTATGATCATGAACTTTCTTGTTATGTGCTTCTCTCTTTCTTCTTAGATCCAAAGAACCCTCTTGTTCCACCCGAAACTCACATAAAAGTCTATAAAACAATAAATCGTACTAAAAAAATGTTATTTTATGCATCAGAATAAAATGAACATATTCTTATGTATTGAATCAAAATCCAATATAAATATTAAAGTTGAAGATAAGCCAAAGAAATATATTCTTTTAAGATGGTAAGTTCGAGCCAACTAAGTTCTTTTTTTTTTTTGAATGTAATGTTAAATTATATTCAAAGAAAAATCAACGTTTTTACAACTAGTGCAACGGTTTGTCGAAATAAAAAGCTAAGAATTTTCTGAATTTAAACAATTTGAAAGATTGTAAAGAATCAACTTTGTGCTTGGAGCCAGACTTGAAAAGCCAAGCTAAGTTCTCGTTTCTTCTTTTTCATCGTTTTTATACGTAATTTGGTAAGAGTATTGTTATGTTTCTTCTTTAAAAATTATTTCCCTATTTTATGATTTTGTTTAACATTTCTTATATAAGCTTTTTATTTTTGTTTATTTGCAAGAATTTTTTGTCAACCCCGCTACACTTTTCGAAATAGTTTTTTTAAAACACTTACATAAAATATTAATTATATGAAATCAAATATTGTTTAATTCTGTAAACAAAACGTATCTATCTTGAGTAGTTTATTCATCCCCAATAATCAATTGTTCTATAAATCAATGACCGTACGCGTTGTACGACTTATGAAAAGGCAAGATCCGTACAACTCCTTATTACGTACGTGAACAAGAATATTGCGAATTCACCAATTTCCATCATAAACAATAGTTATTTGACCAACTCCTTAATTATTTCCATCTTAAGAAGAAATATATCCAATGTCACCTAAAATTTGGCATGGAAATAGCCCGTCAATATTTCCTATATAACCATAAGTCGTAACAAGCCAAAATAGATCCAACACAAACACAAAACATTTATAAAGAAAAAATAAGTTTAAAAAAATTAGAATGGCGGCTTCGACAACAACACTCATGAAGCTCTTCTTCTTTGCCCTAATTCTTGTCAGCTTCATCGTATCTCCAGCAACGTCCACGGCACCAGAAGAATGCGAAGCCGAGTCAACAAACCCATGTGTTAACAAGGCTAAAGCCTTACCTCTAAAAATCATATCCATAGTAGCCATCCTCTTGACCAGCATGATAGGCGTCTCGGCTCCTCTCTTCAGCCGATACGTTCCCTTTCTCCATCCGGACGGAAATATTTTCACAATTGTTAAGGCTTTCGCATCCGGAATCATCCTGGGAACAAGTTTCATGCACGTTTTACCTGATTCTTTCGAGATGTTGTCATCGGAATGTCTAGAGGACGATCCATGGCACAAGTTCCCATTCACGGGATTTGTCGCTATGTTGTCGGGCCTCGTCACTTTAGCCATTGACTCCATGGCGACTAGCTTCTACTCTAGCAAGAACGGTAGTGAGATTGTACCTGCTGCTAGTAACGGTGATCAGGAGAGAGCGAATCCGATGATAACTCATGGTCATAGTCATGGTCATGGCGTTACATTAACTACTAAAGATGATGGTTCTTCACAGTTATTGCGGTACCGTGTCATTGCTATGGTTAGTCCACCACATTTATAAATATTCCATTTTAAAGTGATATAAGTTTTAACAAAATTACTTATCTACCGTTTTATATGTTTATATAAACACATATGAAAGGTGTTGGAGCTTGGAATTTTTTTTTTTTTTTGCTAAAATGTTAATATCATTAGAAATGAAAGTTTAGGAAATACAAAGGTAAAACCTAGAGGAGAGTAATCTTGGCAAAAAAGAATAAAAAGCAAGATTACAATAGAGATTTTGGACTAAAAAGCCTAACGGATCCAGAGAATCATTAGGTTCCTCCAACGCTTACGATGGCGACGAGCAGAGATGGTGTTACGCACTTCACGATCGATGTTTTTGAAGATGAACAGAGGAGGAATGTACTGCAGATTATGAAGTACATTATTCCTCTGCTTCCAAATGTGATAAACCGATGCTTGGACAGCAACCTTGCGAAGAATCGAAGGGGCAGAACTCGAGGATAGTCGCATCCAAGATAGAAGCTCAGACCAGCTGTAGATCAGAGGACCCCTGCGAGATAAACGCGAGAAGACAAGGTTCCAAATAACAGTGGAGAAAGCACAAGAAAGAAATAGATGGTCTCTAGATTCAATGACAGATGAGCAAATGCAACAGTTAGGAGAGGAAGCAACTCCCCAGGAGGCCAGGCGCTGGCGGGTTGGTAGTCTATCAAGATGAGAAACCCAGAAATGGAACGCATTCCTGGGAACCGCGCCCTTGAACCAGACAGATTTAGCCCAGTCCTTAATCGCATCTCTAGGCCGCATAGCTTCCCAAGTTGTTGAAGAGGAGAAACCAGCACTGTCCTTGTTGTCAACAATCCAGCAAGCAGAGTCTGGAATGGTAGATTGGCTGGGAATGTTGATGGTAGTGAGATGCAAATGCAGAGCCAAAGCAGCGTCAGATCGAGGTGAGGGAATAATCCAGCCATTTGAATTGCAAGCATCTGCAACCTTGGTGTTGAGAGGCAGTCTTAAGGCACGAGGACCTTCCACTCCAAGCAGCTTGATAAGAGGACCCAGTGGAGTCCAAGAATCATACCAGAAAGATGTGTTTAGACCATTACCAATAACATGTTTTAGAAATCTTTCAGCAAGGGGTCTGAGCTGCAAGATCATTCTCCAAGTCCAGGGATCCCTAGGTGAGGGCTCAATCTCCCACAGCGACCTATTCCCAATATGATGATGCTTGTGCCAAGCAGCCCAAAGGGAGCCCGATTCTGCAAAAAGGAGCCAAATGAGCCTGAGGCAGAGAGTTTTATTCCAGACTGTGAACCTTCTCAACCCAACACCGCCTTCAAGCTTAGGGAGACAAACAGTGGACCAAGCAACCTTGGCACCTTTGCTAGCGTCGATATTACCCGACCATAAGAATCTGGAGCAAAGGCTTTCAATCTTCTTCAAGCAGCCAAGAGGAAGCACAAAAGTTGAAATCCAAAAGGCAACAATACCAGAGATAACCGATGCAATTAACTGAACTCTACCCGCGAAAGACAGACTTTTTATAGCCCAAGATCTGAATCTGTTTGTGAGCTTATCCAACAGTGGCTCATACTCAGAAATTTTTAATTTTCTGCACATAAGAGGTAAGCCCAAGTATCTAATGGGAAGAGATCCCATTGGAAAACCGAAGCCAGCAATAGAGTGTGATTCAGAGTTGTCAATACCTGCCAAAAAAAGGTGAGTCTTATCCTTATTAACCTGCAGGCCAGACCACAAAGCAAAGTCATCCAATGCCTCGCTAATGCCATGTAGAGAAGAACAACCCCCATCGAAGAAAACCATCACATCATCAGCAAACATTAAGTGCGAGATAGAAAGATCTGAAGTTTTAGGGTGATAGTGAATGTAACCAGCATCGAACCTTGAGTGTAGTAACTTGGAAAAGACTTCCATAGCGAGGACAAACAAGTAAGGGGAGAGAGGGTCCCCTTGTCTGAGACCCCTTGTGCTCTTGAAATATCCACCTGTGCTGCCATTGACCGATAGGGTAAAGGTAGGGGTTGAAATACATTGGAAAATCCAGTTAATAAACTTCTCCGGAATAGCAATGGCTCTTAGGGCAGAGATAATAAAATCCCATCTCACAGAATCGAAAGCTTTCCTGAGATCCACTTTTAGCATTCCTCTAGGCTCAATATTTCTCCGGTTAAAGCCGTGAACAATCTCAGTAGCCAGCAGGACGTTCTCGGATAGGAGACGCCCAGGGAGAAAGGCGGATTGGGAAGAGGAGATGACATGAGAGAGCAGCTTCTGCAGCCTAGAGGACAACAGTCTAGCAATGACCTTATAAATGGTATTCAGACAGGAAATGGGTCTAAAGTCTGTTGTTCTGGAAGCATTGGGAGACTTAGGTATAAGAACCAGTGTGGTTGCATTCCACTGTTTCAGGATGCGGCCAGAAGAGAAGAACTCGCGAACAGCTTCAGAAACCTCCGGACCCACTGTATCCCAAACCCCTTTGAAAAATTCTGCTGAGAAACCATCCGGACCACTTGTCTTGTTCCTAGGAAGAGAGAAGAAAGCCTCTTTGATGTCAAGATCAGAGAATAACATATCAAGTTCATTAACCTGTTCCTGAGAGCATCTGAAAGTAAGCAGGAGATTCATATCACTTTGCTCAAGCATAGGCTGGCCAACTTCACCTCCAAGGAGGTTTTCAAAATAGTCCACACAATAGTGAAGAATACCTTGCTCCGTATCAATTCTGTTCCCAGCATCATCTTCTAAATAGTGGATAGTATTAATTGCTTTTCTTGAATCAGCCATTCTGTGGAAGTAGGCTGAGTTGCAGTCTCCCTCAGCCATCCAAGTAACACGAGACTTTTGGCAAAAATAACTCTCCTCTGCCATCCTTAGGGACTGCCACTTAGCTTGAGCTGCCAATTCATGACCAGCATTTAACACCGAAGGGTCTGCTAGAGTAATTCTTTGGCACTGCAAAACTAACTCGTGAGCCTCCGCTACTCTCTTCTCAAGATCAGAATAATTCTCTTTACTTAGAGCGCAGATAGGGCCTTTCAACAGTTTTAGTTTTCTAGAGACTCTGAACATGGCTGACCCAACAACATTTGAAGAGTACCAAAGGTCTCTAATTAGAGAGTGAAAATCCCCATTTTGAAGTAGAAAGTTGAAGAACTTGAAGGGACTCTTTGGCTTTCTCAACGCAGCATCCAAAACCACACCACACGATGCATGATCAGAGAAATCTGGCTCACCAAAGACACCATACGCAGTAGGAAAGAGGACAGACCAGCTCTCGTTGACAAGAATTCTGTCAAGCTTCTTCGCCACCGGTCTTGAGTCACATTTGTTCCACCAGGTAAAGGTATTCCCTTTAAACAATAAATCTGCAAGGTCCGAATCCAGTAAGCAATCTCTAAAGTCTCTGATCCGACTGTCCACATTCTTATTAGAATCAACAGAATGCTCCCTGGGGTGCAATATCTGATTGAAATCACCGAGAACCAGCCACGGTCTACTACCCACCATTGGTGAAACGGCCATATTCACTAATTCAGCCCACAGCTCTTTTCTCGTGCCATCATCATTAGAAGCGTAAACAATCGAAATGACAATCCAAGAAGGAGAGAAAGGAAGCAGAACCTCACAAGTAATCATCTGGAGTGACTTTGCAAGAACCACCACTTTCACACTAGGGTGCCAAACCACCCATATTTTACCTAAATCAGAAAAACCGTAGTTCTCCTCCAAAAACCAGCCTGGCAGAAGATCCTTAATGAATTTTTGCTCCTTCGGCTGTCTGACATGCGTCTCTATAATACCTCCAAAAATTGGTTTGTTTAACTTAAACCATTTCTTAAAACCGCTTCGGTGATTGAAAATATTGAATCCGCGGACATTCCAACAAAAGATGTTTGTACACATTACTAAAATGAGGATTTGAGGCTCTTGCCTCGCATTGCCTTCCGATGTCTCCTGGACACCACCTCCTCAAAAGCTTCTTCAAAAGCTTGCTCTTCTTCCTCCGGATCAGAAGAACAAACATCAGAAGAATCAGCTTCAACTTCTGACTCCTCAGACACATTATGTGAATGCACCAAAGCTGAGATGTTAACTTGAGAAGCAGCCGCTTCTGTTAATTTACTAGGCTCTCCCTGGATAATAGGTTGACCAGAACCTAATTTCAAACCCACATCCTGAACCACAATAGAACTCGCTGCCACAATCTGAGAAACTTTAGGAGCTTTAACTGCCCATTCTTTAACCACAGCCTGCTTACCTTTGGAAGAATCTCCAACTACAGCTGAGTCAACAAGAGGAACTCCCCTTGGTGTTCTTGATCTTCTCCTTCTCTGATTTCTAGACCTCCTGGGGCCAGCCTCAGAAGACTTTTGGCACTTTTCCTCAGTATGAGTGGTGGAAGAGCAGCCAAGACAAGTGATGGGAGCCCTTTTACAGTGTCTTAGGCTATGTCCAATCTCTCTACAATGGGAGCAAACAGGAGGCATCCACGGACTTGATACCTTTACTCTCTTGATTTCACCTGATTCCAATCTCTCTACAATGAAAGCCTCTTCCAGAAGCGGTCAATGTGTTGGAGCTTGGAATTATAGTTCACTCCGTGGTCATTGGATTATCTCTAGGTGCAACAAATGACACATGCACCATTAAAGGTCTCATTGCAGCTCTTTGCTTCCATCAAATGTTTGAAGGCATGGGTCTTGGAGGTTGCATCCTCCAGGTAAACCCAAAACAACATCTTTATTGAGGTGTTTTGATACAGTACCAAAAACAATATAATACTTATACAAGGAAATATAAAAGTACTAACCAAATTGATATATATATACCTTTGAGTATTCTTATCCATTATCTCACTTAGAGATGTTGCATCAATGTTTACTAACAACAAAATATTGTAAATCGTGAATAGGCGGAATATACAACTGTGAAAAAGTTCATGATGGCCTTCTTTTTCGCGGTTACAACACCATTTGGGATTGTTTTAGGGATTGCATTGTCGAGCATTTATAGGGATAACAGCCCGACCGCGTTGATCACTGTCGGGCTGCTCAATGCCTGCTCTGCAGGACTGCTCATCTACATGGCCCTCGTTGACCTTCTAGCGGCTGAGTTCATGGGACCAAAGCTCCAAGGCAACATCAAGCTTCAGATCAAATGTTTCTTTGCCGCTTTACTCGGCTGCGGTGGAATGTCAATCCTCGCCAAATGGGCTTAGAAACTTATCAATAATCTTGGTGTGCATATTCTAAAAGAGTTTGGTTAAGTTCGGGTTTGAAAATCTTGTTTGATCTCAAGCGTTTTTGTCTTTTGCTTCATTTTTACTTTCATATAATTATGTAAAGAGTAATAATTGTTGTGTGATGAATAATTGTGTAATGAAATATTGATATTTAATTTAACACACCATGAAAAGCGATGATCTATCTATATAAAATTGTGAGTGTATTCTTATATAAAAAAAAATTAACGATTTTTTTTAATAGTAATTTTATATACAATAGTTTAGCAGTTAAACATGAAATTTAAGCCATTAAGCCATTGGTATATAATAGTAAACCTGTTGATTCAGTTTAAGATTTTTCCTTAAAATTGTAATATTGTTTGTCTCTTATTTGTTTTGAATGTAGTATGTGTTTATAACTTTTTAATGTTAATTTGGAGGGTTTCAATATTTTGATGTATTAAGTAAATACGATTTAAGAATAGTTATTTTGTAACTTAATTAATTAATACTCTTTGGCTGTGATTGATGTGTAATAGAGTAAAAATGTGGAAATATGAAAAGTGAAAAAAAAAAGAGAAAAGAGAAAATGCAAATGTAGCGTAAACATTTTCACCCTTTTAAAGTATAGGAAATTTTACTCTACTTTTAAAGTAGCATAGTTCATTTTTCTCTTTTCTAGCGTAAATTGAATTGAAAAGTTTTTTTTATCTGTTTTACTCTGATTGGTTCAAAATAGAGGAACTCTTATAGCTATTTTTTTACGCCAATCATGATATCTAGTCACAAGCCTTTATATAATTATTTCTAGGTGTTTGCTATAAAATAGGGTTATTGTTCTTTTTTTTTGTTCATCTAAAATTTTATTATTGATCTTGTAATGAAACCAAGGTGGAATACAAAGTCCAAAAGAAGAAAACTAAAGCCGGCGGACAACATGAAAGTCTCTGGAGATAAAGCCGGCGGAAGACGAGATTTCCCCGGAAGCTAGGCCTTAACGAAGGGAAACTAAACATATATAGTAAAGCAAAAGATTTCAAACCACAAATGCAAGAGGTCGAAACCAAAAACTAAAAAAGAAGCCGAAGGCATCAATACAATAAAACTACTAAGAGTCTCTCCAGCAATGACACATCAGCTTTTTAAACTATTGTGGAACTGACACATCATTAAAAATGATACCCAATCAAAACATAACAATTAATACAACTCATCTCTCCAGCATGCCACATCAGCTTTCTGTGCCACATCAGCTATTTATTAAAAAATGCATCATTTTAAAAAGACAACCAATCAAATTAAAATATATAATACACATACTTTTTTTTTAATTATGATACATGAATTTCTAATTTGTTCAAAGAAAACAAAGTCAAATTATAAATAAAATGAATACACATTAGATTATGTAATGTTGACACATAAAAAAAAATTAATTATTTCATGGAATTGATCAAATATATAAATATAAACTTTATATCTATAGTTATTTTTACATAACATATTTATATTTAAGACGTTTATAATAAAAAAAATTACTATATAACTCAACAATCAACATATACCGATTCAGTTTACACATAAATTTTTTGATATTCACGTCCACCAAAATTTTGATTTTGTACTACTAGAATTTGGTTTAGTAACTATATTCTTAATTAAGCCACTAATCACTTTTATTACTTTATGTCTTTCTAGAAGCTGATATTTCATTTAAAAAGTAAAATCAATCAAATTAAAATAAATAATATACATCAGCTTTTATTATCTTTTTTTTTTTTTGTCATCAAATAAAAAAGAATAAAAAACTAATGGTGAATACTTTTTGTATTTTTATCTACGTTTATACGGTGTAATTACGTTATAAAATAATAGTAAAGTAGTCTTTCCTTGATTTTCTGCTAACATCGTGATTGTGGGTTTCTCCCTCAGTTACGAAAAATTTTAAAACACTAAATAATATCTTAATTAGACGAATAGTTCATATTCCTAATTGTAAGGATTGTTAAAACACTAAATAATACAAATATATAAATTTAAACAAGCTTGTCTATTCCGTTTTTTGGTTTGATTTGGTTCAATATCATTTTTAGATACAGTATTTCAGTTTCGTAAATTATAGTCTGACACTATAAACAAAATAATGATGTTAATTGAGTATATCAAATAAAAAAGAATAAAAAACTAATGGTGAATACTTTTTGTATTTTTATCTACGTTTATACGGTGTAATTACGTTATAAAATAACAGTAAAGTAGTGTTTCCTTGATTTTCTGCTAACATCGTGATTGTGGGTTTCTCCCTCAGTTACGAAAATGAGAAAATTTTTTACAAAATCCAGTAACATAATTGGAATAATAATTTTATATTAAAATTATGGTATAATTAAAATAAATTATAAGTTGTCATTTTAACAAATCATTGTGATTTAAAGGATAAAAGAATAGTTTTAGAAATAGAAAGTCTATGTTAAATTTTGAAGTGTTATTCAAATTATGGTTGTGCACCATGTATATCTTTAATAGAAAGAAAGTAAGGTTCTTGAAATATATTAGTCGCTAAAACTATATACATATAAAAAGAAATCAGATATTTGTAAAACGTTATACACATTATAAAAATAAAACAAAACAAAAAGACAAACACAAAAATTGACTATACGGTAAATTTATTTTATAAAAATAATATATAACATCTATTTATTAATATATGCATATATAATAAAAATAATAAAATACTAAAATTTGAGTAAAGGTAAAATACCCAATCCTAGAATCATTGCAAACTTCTACCAATCATATTTGTAATTATATTAAAACAAAGCTAATTTACAAAAAAATACCCCGCGGCAGAGCGCGAGTTCTTTATCTAGTGAACCTTAAAAGAAACAATAGACCCAAGAAAATAAGTAACCCAAAACTTCTGAAGCACATGCGATTGAGACTTACCAAGGATGCCCGCGGCCAACCCGAAAATAACATCTACCTCCTCCTATCACGAAGAGAGCTGATCTCTCGAAACTAAGTACCAAGACTTCATAACCCGGCAAGCGAGACAATGTTTACTGATTTACCGGTTTGGTTGATAAATAGATGGTGAATACCGGTTCGGCGAAAAAAAAAGATGGTGAATAAATACCCAATTATTGTTGGCAAAATAAATTACCCAATTAAAAGGTCGGCCCTTTTAGAGAAACAGCCCATTGGCATTTACAAAGGCACACAATAGTTTGTATTAATACAGTACTAACTACTACTAAGTAATAATTTACCATTTCGAACCAAGATTAGCGCAAATCGTCATCATCAAGCGAGAGAATGAACTTACTCATCTCGTCATCATACGAAAAACTCAACAAATGATAAGACAAGTCATGTACTACTTCTGGAACATATGAAAGATATCATCACATCATTTAATTGAATACACCTATTCTACTTTGAACTATATACAGTATATCTTTTAAGGAGGTTTATCCTTAAAAACACCTTAAAACATTTTAAAGTACTCTAAACACCTTAAAACTAATAAGAACAATTGTAAATCACCGCATTAGGAAATATTTTTAAACTATTATGAATTTATTAAAATAAGTGAGTTTTGAAATTTTGTATCATATTATATTCTATTAATTTGATTAGGGATAAAGTAGGAGTTGTGATGAAATTCCTTATTATGTATTAGTGATATAGTTTGCGGTATATGGATATCAAATCTATGAACAATCTCATATAATAGCATACTTTGTGTTAGCATTATTGGAGAGCAAAATTTAACGTTTGAAGTTGTTTAAATCAACATTATATGTAAGATGAGACGTGACATGCATATTTTTAAAGACTATATGGATATGGTATGTATATTTTTTTGGTTCACCAAAAAGTATCTATACTAAATCAATGGAGTAGATAATTAGTGTTAATTAGGGCCAAATTTTGGAATATTCTTAGGGAATAGGGTTTAGTGGAGATGTGTAAGCAATGTGAACCATCTTAACCAAATAACCCAGTGTCCAGACCACACAGTGATCCGACTATCCCACTGGACCTAAGCCCGCGTGCCTGGGATTTTTAAGCCTCCACTTAAGGGCCCCCCGGAACTGGTGGTCTGGGACGCTGCGCCCCGCAGGTAAATTGCGCAGTGGCCGGGACTCGAAGCCGGGTGACGGATGCCTCAGCCGAGGTTCCTTTACCACCTGGAGACAAGCACCCGGTTCCATCTTAACCAAATATCGAAATGTTATCACTAAAAAAGTTGTTGGACGCATTATGTAATCAAGAGGAAAAATATAAATACTATTGGATAGCGACAATGTAACGTTTCTTGAACACAAACATCGTAAATCGTGAAGTCACACATCGTATTCATCGTTCTGCGTTCTGATATGCACTTAAATGGTAGATATATTTGAATACATTTATTTTATTATCAAATCTGAATTTTATTTTATTTTTTTCCACATCAAATCTGAAAATTTATGGGGTCTTTTTTTTTGTCTATATGCACTGCACAAGATACGACCCCAAATTATAAAGTTTATTACACGACAAATAATAATAGACTTTGAATTGCTAATGTCGTTGAAGGTATCAAATTCAGACTATTGCTTTATGACGTTTTCCTTTCTACTTTTTTATAGCTGGGATAGCGAAATTTGATTCTTCTTAGAAAACAAATTTATATACATTTTTGTTATATTGAACGTCACTGGACAATTTCATTATTAGTGATTGCGACATAATTACATAACCTTTAGTGGGCAACATTTTTTGGGAGTTAGAAAGCAGCACTGAAATTCGAATTTTATGGAAGAACAAGAAAGGACACCAAGAAAATTATGAATTTTGTGTGTTTCTTGATAATAGATATTGATGACACTTTGAGTACAAATAATTCCCAGTGACACTTTAAGTAAAATCAAACATAGTTAAAAAAAAATTAAGAATGCTTAACAATTTAGTTTTTAATAACAATTTTTAATAATATAGATTATATTGTTAAACATATATAAATAACAAGCCATAGTCGAAACCGAATTAGCCAAAAATATATAGACTTATCAGAACACACACTTTAAAAACATTCACATATTTAAACCAGTATGAAACCAAATCCGACTAAGAAATTGTACCAAACCAAAAGAGATTAATTTTAAAAAATAAGTTTCAAAAAATAATAATTTGAACCTTATAATGCAATATTTTGGATTTTCCATCTAATGGATAACAAAAAATATTAGATAAAGTAACAATATTTCGTCAATGCCTTTTCATATTTTCTAAATTCAAGGATAAGTTTCTTTACACTGAGAATTTGTTTTCCTATTTTTGTTATATGTAATTGCTTGGCTAGAGGAGAAATAAAAGGCCAAGGACCATCTCACATGTTTTGGAGAGATTCTTTAAAATTTCTTTCCCACATTCAATTATTATATGTCGTCTTTTGCAACTTCCATTTTTGGCTTCCACTTCTGAAGTTTCCAGGAAAATAACCAAAATGTTTTTGTATAATAATATTAATAACCGACATACACGATTTCATTTCCAATTTCTATCTAGAAGAAAAAAAAAAAAGTAAGGACTAAGGATTAAGGAAATAGATTATGTTTTAAACCAAACCAGTAAGATTGCATCGTGATTTTACCAAAAACTAGGAAAGAAATCAAGAGTTATTCTCCTGCTTAATCTACACGTACATTAGTATTAATGTTGCAACAAGACACTAACTAACATTAAATTGAAGAGTAAAATTTGGTTTAGTGCGTTCCTCTGAAGCATGAACAAAACCGCAAATTCTATTATCATTATTCACAAAAATCCAGAGTTTAATGTGGTTGTTGTACACTTAACAAGAATGGTTAGTTTTGTAAACGCATTAAACATGAACCATGCTTTATAAAAGAAAAAGAAAAAAACAAATGCCATACTTCAAATTGTGAAAAACGACTATAAAAGATTATGACTTAAATTAGCTAATTTACTATATATTGTTTTGATTTACAAGAAAATCAACATTTTGACAACATCATTCGTTCACCGTCTTCTACTACTATTGTTTTTTTCTCTAATTGGTATTTAACCTTTAGATATATATAGGTATAACGAATCGTGATTTATGTGGTTATGAAAAAATTATAATTCAAATTAGATCACCATGCATTTAAAAGTTTAATCGAATCTTTTTCGTTTAATTCCACAATTACATGCTACATATTCTTATTTTATTTTCACGAATATACTACGTAGATGGTTTTTTTTTTTTTTTTTTTTTTTTTTTCATCAAACACCATTTATATTAAGTTATCGGAAAGATAGACTCTCCGCTGGGGAGAGCCATTCAGGAACCGAGTTGCTTACATGGGAAAAGAGACTCTTCCGAGCCCGAGCTTTTTTCGCTAAACAGTCAGCTCGAGTATTAAAACTACGAGGAAGAAAACGAATACTAAAAGAAGGAAAAAAACAACGAAGAGACCGGAAAGAGGCCAATTCTGCTGCAAAAGTAGGCCAATCTTCTTGATTATCGAGAAGTGATATCATGTCCGAGCAATCTGTTGCGAAGGCGCCAGAGGTGACTCCTAGCGAGATCAAACATTCCATTGCCCACAACAAAGAATCCACTTCCGCATGGAGCGGTGAAAGACTTCTTCTCGAACTCTGGAGACCGAGATGAAGGATCCGATCTTGATCAACTAAAACCCATCCATGTCCGCTTAAAGTATCCTCTAAGTGCCATGAGGCATCCACCTGACATTCCGATGTCTGAGGATGAGGGGAGAGGTTCAGAAGCGTGCGATCAAGAGCCTCGGTATTTGACATACCATTCAAAAAGGCTTGTTTCCAGACCGATGCTTCTTTTAAGGCCAAATTTAGAATCTCGAGGGGAGGCTCCCTAATGTTTTCGAATACAAATCTATTACGGCTTTTCCATATATACCAAAGTATCCATGGAAAGAGTTCTAGCACATCCTCTTCAATTCCAAATTCCCGGCCTCGCCAAAAGAGGAAGTCAAAGTTATAGAAAAGGGAATTTCGAGGGAAAAGATGTCCCGCAGAGGGAATAGGGGATAAAGCCCAAACCTGCCTAGAGGGCGGGCATTCAAAAAGTAGATGATTAATAGATTCTTCTTCACCGCCACATCGAGGACAAACTTTGTCTGTACCAATATGACGGTTTACAAGTCTTTGGGATGTGGCTAGACATCCCGAGATACATTGCCACGCGAAATGCATAAGCTTCCGCGTAGTTTTAAGCTTCCATACTTGTGCCTGTAGTGTCGAAACACCCGGTCCCTGAAAAGGGAGGTCACAAGTAGGACGAGATAAAACTCTCGCGGCCCAATAACCGGATTTTACAGTATAATTCCCAGATTTAGTATGGTTCCAACTAAAGCCATCACTAAGGTATGTGCGACTTGGTCGAATCCCTAAGATAAGAGGGATATCCGCAGGGTCGATCAATGCTTGAAGACGGTCAAGTTTCCACATCTTTGTGGTTTGATCAATGAGGTCATTAACATATAGATGAGGATCTCGTATGTTAAGAATACTTTTGGCGGGTCTCGCAGGGATAGTAGGGATCCACGGATCTTCCCATACCCGGGTTAGCATTCCAGAGCCAATGGTTCTTCGAAGACCCGACACAAGGAGCGGTTTGGCCGCCATGATACTCCTCCATCCATAGGAGGGACGATTAGAATTCCCTATGTGTAGAGGATCACTAAAGCGGTAATATCTGCCCCTCAGGACCCTACTCAAGAGGGAGTTTGGGTACCGGATGAGACGCCAGAGTTGTTTTGCTAATAGGGCAAGATTAAATTCTTCAAGCGTTCTAAAGCCCAGGCCACCTTCAGAATGTGGGGTACAAAGTTTATCCCAGGCAATCCAATGGAGGCCATTACTATTTTCATTTGTTTTCCACCAAAAGTTCGCTATGGCACTGCTCAATTTTGAACGAATTGCCTTAGGAAGAAGGAAACACGACATAACATATGTCGGAAGGGCTTGGGCCACTGATTTTATGAGGACCTCTTTGCCTCCTTTAGACAAGAATTTAGCGGACCAGGTATTTAATCTTTTTTGAAGTCTATCTCGAACAAAAGAAAAAACTTGGACTTTGGAGCCATGAATTTGCTCCGGTAATCCCAAGTACGAACCCATACCCCCGTCCTTATGAATGCCCAGGGTCTCTTTAATAATATTCCGGGTACTATTATCAACGTCATGACCAAACAACACTGAGGACTTCGCAGTATTTAACTGTTGTCCCGAAGCCTCGCCATACGTGCGGAGAATTTTGATGATCTCTCCACCTTGAACAGGGTCAGCTTTGCAAAAAAATAAGCTATCGTCCGCAAAAAGGAGATGTGAAGTAGAAGGACTAGCTCGGGAGATTTGAAGACCTTGTATGCGACCATGCCATTCTGCTTCTTTGAGGTTAGCCACCAGAGCTTCGGTACACAAAATAAACAGAAAAGGAGAAATAGGGTCTCCTTGTGAAAAACGACTATAAAAGATTATGACTTAAATTAGCTAATTTACTATATATTGTTTTGATTTACAAGAAAATCAACATTTTGACAACATCATTCGTTCACCGTCTTCTACTACTATTGTTTTTTTCTCTAATTGGTATTTAACCTTTAGATATATATAGGTATAACGAATCGTGATTTATGTGGTTATGAAAAAATTATAATTCAAATTAGATCACCATGCATTTAAAAGTTTAATCGAATCTTTTTCGTTTAATTCCACAATTACATGCTACATATTCTTATTTTATTTTCACGAATATACTACGTAGATGGTTAAGAGTTACAAAAAGATGCTACAATAATTCGAAATTTCAAAAAAAAAATCCTTACAATTATAACCATCAGAATATACGTAACTGGCTAGTGTTAAGTCATTATGCAGTTCCATAACATTCTTTGACTCTAAAAAATTTCGTATCTTTTTAATTTCTACGGTTACAGAGATCGCATTGATTCCGTACGAATTGTCATTACCAAAATAAGAAAATATACAAAAACTACAAACAAATAATGAATCAATTCCATATTAAATAATCTAAAAAAAAGAGTCACATTTCTTCTTCTTTTTTCACCTATTTTTACGCTTTAATCCTTAAATTAAAAAAAAAAAAATGGTCATGATGACATGTTAACATGTACACTAGCAGTCATGACCATATCACATACAGGACACTTCTTTAACAAAGCCGACGATCCACAAACCGTACACAAACACAAATGACGACAAGGTAACACCAACACACTCGCCGTTAAATCACCGCACCGTCTACACCCACCGTTAACCGCCGCCGTTAAATCACCTCCGTCACAACTTCCACAGCTAGATTCTGCATCTTCTTCTTCAACCAAAGGACGACGAAACGCATCAAAATCATCAACTTGAGCTAAAACTTGTTCAAGATTTGATCTAAGATTATTCGCAGTAGCTTCATTAGTATGAGCTAAATCACGCCAGATCTGATTCTCAACGTAGAGATTCTTCACACGTTCTTGTAAAACCCAGTTTAATTTCCCCATTCTTATTATCTCTTCGTCTTTCTCTTTTAGCTTTTTCAAAATCGCGTTTTGTACCGCTGTTGCTAACATCCGCGTTTGCGTTCTTTGTCTCGCTTCTAATTCGATTCTTAGCGTTTCCGTTTGTTGTGCAACGAATCTATCGATTTCTGAGTTTTGCTGTTGGATCTGAGAAACTAACTCTGCGTCGATTAACGACGGAGAAAACGCTATTTGTCTGCGTTTTTGAGATGCGTTTGAATCAAACGTTGTATCTCTTTGACGTTTTGAAATCGCTGTGAGATTGCTTTCTGATTTGTTGAAGCTGTTAATCGGATCTATGTACTGTAAGTTCCGATCACCGATTGTCACCGGAAAATCACCGCCGGCGAATCCGATTTGTCCTCCGTTGTTGTAATTCATATTCGTCTGAGATTTAACACATTCTCTGAGAAAAAAATGAAACAAAAATCAATAAAACTGCAAAAAATCACAGAAATGGAATCTTGTAGAGAATGAAATTTACCTGTTGGTAATGTATTGAGAAGAGAAGAGATTCATGTGTCTTGCTTCAACAGCCATTGATAAAAGGTTTGAGAGAAGAGAGAGAGTTTGGAGGAAGAAGAAGAAGAAGAAGAAGACTGGTGAAGAAATCTATGGAGGGAGGCTTTTTATTTAAGGAAGAGAGAGAAAGAAAAAGTCAAAAAATGAGAAAATTAAAAAAAAGATTATTTCTAGAAAGAGAATAAATTATCCTTTTGAAAATTTTACATTTCTTTAAAATTAATTTCCTTTATAGAAATATCTTAACAAACATCAGCACATGTGACTGTATATAGCTTTTTTTTTTTTATTGACTTGACTTGTAGTGATATGGTATAAATATTTTGTATTCCTAATTTTGTAAATTTAAAATTGACTTTTTTTTGTTAGTAAAGTTTTACCATGAAATCTGTTATTTTTTCCGTGTATAAGTATTTTAGCATAAATGCTATTTATATCTTGGGATATATATCATTAAAAAAAAGGAAATAAATCTAGCTAAATTTAAATTTTGCTCACGTTTTTGTTTTGACTACATGCAAAATTAGGAATCATTTGCTAAAATAGTTAAGAGAAAATAGAAAATACTTTTTTCAATTTTCTTTTTGACTAGACCAAAAATTAGGATTGATTTATTAAAATTAAAAATATTAAGCAATGATGTGATTGGTCAGTATATGTCATAGGTAAGAATCTTAAGGGGCATTTTGGTAAAACAATTTTCTCTCGAAGTACTCGTATAAAACCAAAAAAAATCCAGAAGCATGCACGTCGTCGTCGCATATGCCATGGCTATGGGTGGGTGTTAATTCCTCACCACGCCATACAATTACCAAGAAGATTCCACCGTGTATATTATTTTGACCTATAATCTTTATATTGTTTTAGACATTGACATTCGGATATTCCGATCGCGTTCGATTAATATTTAAAGACTAGTGATCGAAATTTCATTCGGATATTTTAAAATTTTGGATCGGATTTAATCGATATCTTTTGGGTTTGAATCAGTGCCGAGTATCCGAAATCAAATTACAATTTATGTAACATTATAGTAAGTTCTTGGTTGATAATCAGAATATATGAATAGGTTAGAGAGATCATGATGAATAGGTTCTCCTCATATATGAAAAATCAATATTTTGGTTATGTACAATAAATTAGTGTTATATAATTAACACTTAAAACAATAAATCTATTAGTTTTAAAAATATTATATCTTACCAATTTCTATCTATTTTTTTTTTTTGCTATCTAATTTTGAATTGCACTTCTTATTTTTTATTTTCTATCACTTCTTAATTTAACGTAACACAAATTGAGGTCCAAAATGAACCCTCATGAGCACACAAGTGTATAGTTGTACACGTGCCAAACGTGTGAGGTCCATGATGGGAAAAAACAACATAAGCCACGTTTTGGTGGAACCCATTCCTAAAAACTTCACTGTTTTGATTTTACTATTTTAGTGAATCGGAAAAATATAGCTTTTGTTTTTGGTCCATGGCTTTGCTGGGAAAAAAGTTTGTTGTCTTGTCGCTTTTCTTTTTCTTTTTTTAAAAACAAAATCAAAGTAATACGTTGAAATAAAATCGAAAATTATCCGATAATGTTATAACACTGTACGGACAATAAGTGATTTATATAATTGTGTTAGATGTGGGATAAATAAGTGGACCACATGGAAAAAAGTCTATTTTATGTGTCTGTGGACACATTCATGCGTGTCTCTGTGTATTTAATGTCTTATAGTCATTGTTATATGTACAGGCGAATCTACGTACGTATCAATCTCTCTTTCTCTCTCTCTTTATATATGTGTCAATTCATATTGACGAATACGTATAGATGCATGTTACCAAGAACAAATAAAACATACTATAATAGTTTTCTAAAAGTTTGAAAATCTATCGGTATGTCATTTATTTATATTGGAAGATTGGTTGATAAGAATGCGTCAATCCATAATAAATGGGATAATTATATACTTTTCTTATGAAAAAGTAAAAAAAAAAAAGAATGATTTAAAAAAAAAAAACATTCATCGTTTAGTTTAGGTTTTAGAGATTTGGTGTCATGGTTTTAGGGTTTAGTTGTAACTTGTAAGGCTTAGGGTTTCGGGGGTTTATAATTTTTAGTTAGGGTTTACATGATAGGTTGTTTTGTAACTTTATAAAACAATATAAATATTTACTGTTTTCTAATTTTGATACAAAACTAGATTATTTATATAAATCGAAAAGTATACTATTAATTATAAATTTAGGTATTGGCTTATATTCAGAATTGATAACCAAAATAATCTCACTAATTGGAAAAATTAATTAGTTTCACTTGTTATAAAATATGATATCACTTGAGTTTTTTTTTTGTTTTTTTTCCAACTGTACATTAAAACGGTTCATACATATATGAGATCACTTGATACTACTATTTCTGACTGTTGACAAAAAAATATATATAGGTTAAATTTTTTAAAAGCTAACCTATTAATTAGTTGTTCACTTGTTTTACACCTGAAACCAACTTAATGATATTGGTAGTTCGGTACAACATATATATTATCTCTCCAAATTTATGTTCATGTGCAGTTTCAGATCCATTAAAATTAAAATCATGGTATCTCTAACAGATTAAATTAAGTTCATATATATTAACTCTATATTTATTCGAGGTAATAAAATATCAAGAGATAGGGGAATAGAAGATGGAGACTGGAAGTTGAAGCATTGTAATGAAGTTGTGGAGGAACGGAACGAAAACAGGAAGTGGGTAGGAGTGACATATACTAGGCATGGCCATTAAATAAAAAGAAAAAATAATAATGCTATTCATATCTTGTTAATGATGAAGAAATTTGATTTTGATGATTGAAATAATATAAACATGAATTTTCTGTTCCCAATTACATCAACATTAATTAATTACCAATATTATAGATCGATTTACTTATGTATAAAATACAAGTTTAAGATTCTATAGTACTGAACAATATTCATGTTTTCATAATTTCACAATATAATTCCGCTAAGTCTACCATTCTTAATTTCTTATATATAAATAGAGAAAAATGAAACATCATTATTTTAGAGAAAAATGAAACATCATTATTTAAATACACTTGTAGTATTTAAATAGTGTATAAGATTAAACCTCTAAATCATAGACCCAAAAACTCTTAAATTCATTTGTCAATCGCCGAGCTAATGGTACCACCAACTAGATTTATGAGCACACTTTCCTATCAATATAACTTTGTAGACTTACTTAATTATCTTCTTAAATATTGATAATTAATAAGTTGATTAACTAAAAGTTTAGACAAGAACAAGACAAGAGTACTAGGGCCATGTCCAAGCTCATCCTTTGTATTTGCAGAAATGCGCCCACATGATAATAAATGTGATAAAATTATTATGAATTATAATTTCAATATTTTATACTCCCTCTGTCCCAAATTATAAGAGGTTTTGGCTAAAAGCACAAGGATTAAGAAACAATAAATGTTTTCTTATTTATAAAAATTCAACCAATTAAAAAAAAGACTGCATAATTTAAACAGTCAAAAACTATTAAATAAGTGTAAATAGTGCATTGAAACTTGAAAAAATCTATTAAAATGGAACAAAGAAAAAACCCTTAAACCTCTTATAATTTGGGACAGAGGGAGTATTTATTAGGTTCCTTCACATCGTGGATGAGTTGCTCATTACATTTATCAACCAATTTTCATTGTCCTTTTCATTATTGAATGTTTTTTTGTTTGTTTTTGAGTGATTTTCCAAAATTTTAATAAATTTATTCACGGGACACTTTCACGCCCATTAAACATATATACATGTTTAGGTACCATTTCTCTTGTCCTTTTTCACTATTACATTATTTTGGATTTCACAAAATTTGCATATACACTTATATATAGAGAAGAGACAGATAGTGATGGAACCAAATCTGAAATTGTTGAAATAATCAAATTGGTCCCCATCACCACCCACTCCTGCACAAACCTTGTTAGGTCATTGATCCTAAAGCACAGAAAAAGGAAATAATTGAATATAAAATAATTAATTGAAAATTTCAAAAATAGAGAAGTTATGGGAACAGTGATCCCCACTACATAATGTGTCTGAGACTTGCTAGCATTGTCTTAAATTCCCTAAAGCACTGGCAAAAATAAAGGTGCATAAAGAATTAAAGATCCTCTCACACATATACATATACCAAGTTCCTAATCTATATATATGTGTGTATAAAAAATAACTAAATATAAATAGTTGTAATTTTTTAATGGACAAGAGTGATCGAAAATCATAAATGGAGATGCCACCAGAAAAGGTGGCATATATTGAGATTGATGGATTCTTGGTATCCACCACCGTTTATATATTTAGGTTTATTATTATTTTTTGAATGGCTAAGTAGTTTATAGGTCAAATTTACGTGTTTCCACGAAAAAAGGCTAGTAAAACAAAATCACTTTAATAGAAAAAATTACTACTAGAATACAACTACTTAACTTTAGATAAAGATGTTTTCAAGGAAATTTGCTTTTCAACCAATTTTACGACTAGTTGTGCCATGGTTTCACATTTTATTGATAGTACTTATATGATAACAAACAATTAAATTTTGTTAATTTGTAATAAATGTCAAATATGAATTAGATTGTTATGTATCTTAACCATTGTTTAGCATTTTAGTTAAAACGACCTCTATGGGGTATGGATGAAGCAATTTGAATAAATAAAAATGCTCCTTGGGTATATGAATATAATTTTCAATTTGTACGAAGAATATAAAAATGACGAACGCAAATCGATATTTCATTTGGATGATAAAGAAAAAAAGGATTTTAATCGTTGTGATAGATTATAGAGCAATGTCGTTGGAATAAAGAAAAAGCAACTGTATAAGCTCGAATATAGATAAAGAAGAGAACTAAACGATAACATAAAACAATGTCGGAAGGCCAAATAATAGGAACATACAAAATTATTAAAGCATCTTCTTAAATTATTGAAGATATTTGTCTGTCCTGTAGTTGGATCTTGTTTGAGTGAAGTTTCTGTTCTGGCCAATTGCTTGCTTGCCGTGGTG